CAGGAACTTTACATAAAGATCAGAGGAAGACTCTGAGGTCTGTGCTATTCTTAAGCCATAGGGTTGATGTGACAAAATGGGATGTGATCCTGTAGTGCAGCTGGTGGCTCCCAGCCTGGAAACTAAGGATACAAAGACACTGTCTATGGCTTAGCAGAGAAAATAGTCATTATTTTCTCTTTAAAGATATATAAAAATCAATGCAGACTCCAGATAAATCCCAAAATTCATGGTTGGAAGTATTCCCCAACTTCTTAGTGGTCAACAGCTCTATATATTGATAAGAAAAGACCTAAAAATTCAGTTGCCTTTGACTTTCTGAGGAAACTGAAGCCATAACAGTCTTCACAACTTTCTGTGAGCTTCAGCAACATTTAGCTTCCCTTTAGAAAGGAGCCGTTCCACCAGGCACACCAGAAATTCAGTTCTCCTCATGGCGGTGCTAGGAAGGACCATCTCCATCATCCATTGTCTGCAGACAGATCTCCACCATAAGCAAGATTAACTGTGAGGGTTTTGAATAATTTGCAGGGCACATCTTGGGCTCAAAGTTAACGCAAGTTTTTCCTTTCCCTGGTGGTAGACTATGTTTGTACCCCTTCTAATTTTATAGAAACCATCAAGTGCTCACCCATATACTTTCTGTATTCAAAACCAGTGCTTAAAGTTGTTGGTTTTTTTTTTGTTTTTTGTTTTTTTAAGGCATCACATTTCCAACTGTTTCCTGCATTTGTGTTCTTGTCAGGCAACAGAGCAAGGAAATTGCTGTGTTATTTGGGAGCTGAATACTCTACCTTAGCAGCAGCAGCTTCCTAGGGCACTCAGCTTAAGAGGAGCTGCTCAAGGTCTCTAATAGTGATTGTCCTTGATTTCTTTTCTGCTTCTGATGATGATGAATTTTATTAATTAGGATTATAGATCATATCCATATTCACAAGTTGGCTGTTTGTAAAATTAAAGGCTAGCCCTGATCTTGCAAAGATGTAATTATGTGACTAACTTCACGCCTGTGAGTAGCTCCATTAACCTCATTTAAGTGTTTGCAGGTAGCCAGTTAACCATGTACTCTGTGTCCTGTATGCTAAATTCCCTCTCCTACTATTTTACTACACAGAGGAAAACTGCATTTTTGTGAGCGTGTTTAGAAAAGTACATTTGTTTTCCCATATTTGGCAATAAGTCATCTGGTCATTTCCAGCTGCAGCTGACAAAGGTAACATACTATATTGGTATATAATTTTTAATAGCTAGACATTGTGTTGGGCATCATTGAAGGAAACTACCTCTTACATCAGGGTGACAGATGAGTGCCCTGTGTATCTATTTGCTGTTAGAAATGACTGTTTATAAAATTAAAGTTCTCTTCCAATCATTGAAAAGAAAGTACAGAAAAATGGAAAGCCAACAAATAAAATCAGTTAAACATAAAATTAACTTTCCGTCATTTTTAAGACAATAGCATTAATAAAAATTAAATTAATATTACTTTATTTTCAAATTTAATTTTACTCTGACATCCTATTTTTAAACCTTCTTATATTTAATGTTAATATTTTGTATGAAGCAATAGTTTTTAAAAATATCCTACACCTTTTGATGACTATTGTAACTGCAGCTTTTATGTAGTTTATGCTTCCATACAAAACCTGTAAAGTAAATTTGTTGTGACTTTTAGAACAGAACACTAAGTCGTTATGTTTGCTGCTGCTGAGAGCTTGTCTCTTCTGCTCCTGCCGTAGCATTTTGCTGGGGATATATGGAACTAATGCAGTGGGGCCAGTTTGTTTTCTGGCTGCCATTCTACTTTTTAATAACTCAGACTTACCCTATAAAAGCTGAAATATCAATGTTTTTAAAAATATATAATATATATGCACAGTGAATTCTTCTTACCCTAGCAATACCCCAGCCCTATAATAAAAATTTTAAAAGTCTGCTGATGTGACCATAGATAAAAGATAACTTGAAAAATACTTCTTGAGACCACTAAATCAGAACAATTTAGTTGCTGGAGGTTAAAAACAAACCCACAATGTGGATAAATGGGAACTGGGTAGTGACTACATGGGGAAACAGAGCTGCCATTTCAATACATGTTTGTGTGGTTGTTTTCCTGAAAGAAGTGATGGATTTTGCTAACTGGCCGTGTATAATCGCCTATTTTAAGATTCCATCACTGACTATATATATCTGGCTTACATCTGTTGTGAAATGGCATCCAAAAGACACTGAAAGTCCAAACTTTCCATGAAATCATATTGTCACGTGTCTGTTTTAGAAAAATTTGTTTCCAGTGTTTGTGAATGTCCATTTTACCAAAGATGGGTTCAGTGCCTGGACACCAAAAGAAGAGGTGGTGTCTGCACTCCTAAACTGACATCGGTCTCATTTTGCCCCCAAAGTCTACACAGAATCAGTTCATCCACATGAATGAACTAGTCAGAGTACAATTTATTTTAAATGCTATAGCCAAAAAAAAAAAGTGCATTTAAAAGATTGATTTTGACAGTTTGTTGCTTAATAGAACTGTTTTATCTGTGTCTTCAGGATGTTGACCTGAAAGCGTGTCAGGAAACTTTGGATGAATGCTGTCCACACCAAGGAGAGAGTCAGCTGAAACTACAAGAGGACGAGAAGGAAGAAGACATAAATCAAGTAAATGATGAAAATAAATGGAAGAAGGGAAAAGTGTGAAGAGGAAGTGAGGAGGAGATAGGTCTTATCACCGAAATAAAGAGTACTGAAAGAAACAGAGTGAATGGTTTTGAGAGGAAGATTTTATTTACTTTTTTCATTTGGAGTGTCCTTTGCAAGGGCAAGAAAGGAACAGTGACTTCAGATGATACTTTGTGAATGATGTCCTTGTACACCTTCTACACCATCTCAAAAATTGCCTCCTGCTCCCCCCACCCCCCGTATGTTTTGTGTAGTTGAAATGTTCTAGAGTTTACAGAAATCACTTGCAACCAACCATTTTTCAACTTGGTTTTATTTTCTCCATTGTTAAGGTGGTGTGTTTATGGACAAGGATTTCTTTTTTGAGATGTGAATGCTAAATTATACTGCATCCACCAGTACATAAAGTACATAAAGTTTGATGCCCATATGTAGAATTACATTCGGAAAACTGGATAGTTCAGATCTTAACACCTGTATTGTAACTAGAAGGCAGAGAAATAACAATTTGCAGCCAAAACGGGTGCATTTTGGGTTTTGTTCTCTCTGAGAGCTACAATGATTGGTTCTGCTTGAGACCCTGTGAGAGCCGAGAACATCAGATCTGTTTTTCTTGCCAGCGCCTCTTCACCACTGCCCTGGCTTTGAAAAGGCTTTGTAAAAATACCCAATCTTTACACAGCGGTGGGTAAGAGCAGCCTCAGGGAGGAGGAAAGCACTGTGCTGCTGCTGTGAGGCAGAGTAGGATGCTCTTGCTATGGAGTGACATTGCTTGTTCTAGCAATGTGCTGTCTCCCATCAGGATGAAGACTTGATGGCAGGGTCGGCAGCAGCTTTTCACACAGCTGTGCTCTGTTTCCTCTTGGACTTTGATAATTTTTACCTCCTTTTATGTAAAATAACTGTGCTTTACAAAGCGTTTCTGTTTCTTCTGTCACAGAGCAGCCGCAGCCATGCAGATTCCCTTCTGTTCTTTGAGGGCCATTTACAGCTTCTGCCATCACAGATGGAAAATGTGCTGGAGGTAAATGGGAAAACACGTGTATTACTAATAGACTGGGATACAGTCAGTGATTATTGGATAATGACTTACTTTGTTTTGTCTAATTAGAAAAAACCTAACAATTAATATATTGGCAAATCAATGCAGTAAAACTTACCTGAAGATGTTAAAGATGCTAATATCCACCTTTTACAGCAGCTGTCATTGGCTCTTCTCGACACATTTTCCTCAGTAATTTGGGATTTGAAAACTGCAAAATCCTGTCTTCTCAGTCACCCTGTGTTCAAAGTTGGATGGAGCCACTGGACAACTTATTTAGTTCAGCTAATAATTCCCTTTCTGAAACCTAATGCCAATTCATATCTACACAGCAGCTCTTGGTGTGTTTCTCTAAAGCAACACTGAGTTATTAAGCTCTAGCAGCTATTAGGCATTTGCAGCCAAAGATTAGAGTTGACGTAAATAATGGGTCAAGTGCTTACAAGGATTACCCTCAAGAAGAACAAACCCATCTTCGCTGCAAATCAGACCAGTCAGCATTAGTGGCAAAACCATTGTTTTCTTCTTTTTTTAATCTCTGGGCTTCTGATACTATTGTTTACTTTCTGGGTGCCCATCTTCACCAAAAAAAAAAAAAAATAGTTGTTACCTTAATTGAAGCTTCCCTCCCACAGCTCACAGCTGTAATCATTAACCATGAAGCTACTGCCTGCATTCCTTTTTTGCAATATGTCAAGGGCATTTTACATATGCTTCCTATTGTAAGAGCCTTACAGGGTCATTAGTGTTTTCCATACAACTTCATGTTTATCTCTGCAATGCCTAGTTTTGGGAATCCCAGTCCATAAATTAGCCTCCTCCTCTATTTGGCTTTGGTAATGGATTCCACACTAACAAGGTTCAGAAGTTCATCAGTTTAGTTTTCTCTGCTCTTTTCATAATTTAAAAATGGCCGTAGCCTTTATGTAGCTATAACAATACAAGGTTGCATATTTTATTTAAGACTATTAATGCACTGCCATCTTGTGACAATCTATCTGTTAAAAATGGACTGCTTGTGTTTTCCAGGAACCAAGTCTTTACAGGGTGGGGCATTTGTTTCATAGTTAACTTCCTAAGAATATTTATTTTCAAGGGCTTAATTGAAAATTATCTATCTCTATCTCTGTCTATCCAGCTCTATCTCTCAGACTACAGATGGTCTAGTACAAGGCAACACCCTAGGGGAAATAAGGCAAGACCTTCTTCTGTTACCTGAGCTCCCAGTAAGCACAGTAGAGAGCATAAGATGTTCTGGTCTTTGTGGTACATTACTCCCTCTCTGTGCAAAGTGTCTTTTACATTGTTTGCTTAATGAGCTGCAATCAGAAAAGTCCTTTCCTACACCACAATAGTGATGCTCAGGTATAGAGCAATTATATGCTTCCTACTTGATGTGTTTATATACTCAGGTTTTTTGTATCCATGTATTTTATGACTCTTACTTGTCAGCAAGTGTCCTGCTGTGATCTCGCATAGTGGCTTTTTACTTCTAGAACCCAGCAACTATAAACCAGGCCCAAAAAAGGTGGGCTACTGCAGCACTCATTTATCGTCTGGACTTCAGGGCAGAGGGATCATACAGCAGCTTTATTTTTGTAAAGAAAAACTAAGTAGTAATTTGAAGACAAAAGACATCCACAGGTGTGATTTGGGGGCAAGATGTTTCCTCCAAACTGATCAGTAAAGGAGTCGAGTTGAAATCTGAACGTCATAGACCTTAGTTAAGAAAGAGCTAAGCGAAATGTGGCAGCTCACAGCCCCAGAAGCTTTAGAAACTGCGAAAGAAAAACAGTAAGAATCTGCCAGCATGACCTTATTGTTCCTGTCCTCCTTCCCTTTTTTCGTACACCAGTGTTCTCACTAGTTAAGCCCTGCCAGGTCCTAGCAGGACCTTTTCATACACCAGATCAGATGAACACACAGGCTGTAGTTTGATGTACACTTAGCAGTAGTCCCATTTCCACCTCTTAACACTCATCGGTTCCACACTGTCCTTCATGAGTTCTCTTCCTCCCATACTTTCAGTCCCTTTTCTTCTGCACTCTTGCTGCTTCCTGTTGCTGTATGCCAGCGCAGGTTATGCTGTGTACAAATAGGAAACCATATTCAGGGTAGCTAGAAGAAGAGCTTAACATATAAAATTTTGACTTTAATATATTCAAATAGTGAAATGTTAAAAATAAATTGATCAAGATTGTGTAGGTAAGGAACGTAGAACTATTCATTTTATAAAAGATCCCATTTTTTCCCCCCCATCATCTTTTAGGTGAGTTTACTGGAAGATACGCAACTTGTTACTTCTAGTACAGGCCAAGATCCATCATCCTCACTCCACAATATAAGTTTGACCCAGACATTTTGCCACCGTTTCAGTCCTCATGACGCCACCCTACTAAGGACAGACTACCCCACTCGATCAAATTCAGAAACAAGACATTTACATAGCCAAGTGTCTTTTCCTCAGTCAAGCTCTAATATCACAATTTCAGAATCACTACTTCATGGGTCAAATTTGACAGGGCTTTTTCCAATGGCTGACATTGTAAACTTAATGGCTCATGATGATAACTTTGATGAAATTAAACTAATGGCTTTGAAGGAAGGCTTAGACACTGTAGTTTACCAGCTCTTTGAAGAACCTGAGCCAGATTCAGGACTGTCTTTGAATTCAAGTCACAGCACCACCTCTTACTCAGTCTGCACTGAAGGTGCTGTTGGGTACAGCAGTGCTGTTAAATCTGTTTCTTCACATGGCTTAGGAGTTGTTGGTGGCCATAGCCAAGACGACAGTAAATGTGGCCATGTGGAATATCTGGGTGATTCAAAGTGGTCTAGAGAAGACACACTTCAGCAGCTTCTTCATAACCACACGTATAATCAGCTACCAAGTCAAGCAGCGTCCACTCTGGAGCATCATCAGCAGACGTGGATGGAGAAACAAAACGAAGTGAAGGATAGGTGCCATAATTCTACTACTGATACAAACCTTAGCTATGATGAACACTGTGCAAAAGCTCTGAGAATACCATTTTCAGTGCATGAAATTGCAAGGATGCCTGTCGACTCTTTCAACACCATGCTAGCAAAAAACCGTCTGACAGATACTCAGGTATCACTTCTACGTGACATCAGACGAAGAGGAAGAAACAGAGTTGCTGCCCAAAATTATCGTAAGCGTAAACTGGATGCAATTCATAACTTGGAAGAAGATATAAATGTTCTTCAAACACGAAAGGAGAGCCTTAAAGAGGAGCACTCTCAGTGTAGCCGATCGATCAAGTGGATGAAGCGAAAGTTTAACAGCTTGTACCGTGACATTTTCAGTAGGTTGAGGGATGACCAGGGTAGACCCATTGACCCATACCAGTACGTCATTCATTGCAGTAGCAATGGCAGTGTTTTAATACCCAAACACTTGGTAAAATCAGAACAGAAACAAGATGTGATTCTATGATACCAAAAAAAGAGTAGAAACAAAAATAAGGTGGTTGAAGATCACTTAGGTTTTATTTTTCCTGTAAGAATATTTGTGTGAAGACTGGAAGCCAGTAATTTCAGTAGTACAAACAGAAATGACTGCATGGTGGTTGGACTAGATGATCTTTAAGGTCCCTTCCAAGCCATTCTATGATTTAAGGGGAAAAAGTGCATGTTCAAGAGTCTGGCAAACCCAGCTAACTGATCTGTTAGAAGGTCTACCAGCTGAGGCTTCTGAATGAAGAAATTATTTTTAATTAGAATTAAAGGAGCAGGGCCATTAGTGTACACGTAGTTGTACAGGCCTATGTAAAACTAAGAATTTAGGTTGGGGGGGGTGGGGAAAAGGCAAGTTTTAGATCAAAGTTAAACATGGAAAAAAAACCAAAACTGGTTTAGTCTGGAGTACTTGAGTCTTCATACACAAAGGGACCTTATTATTCTTTTTTAGCACTGAAAAATAGTAGCTCAAGTTCATCTTCACCCTAAATTCAATGTGGATTTATGTATTCCTAACAGATACACTGTGTTTTACCTTTGTTCAGAACTGTTCTGCTTTTTCTAGTTTTCCTTTGAGGAGAGAGGCCCAGGAGGCCATTGCATTTTTTCCTCACTACTTTAATAATCATAGCCCCAAGCAAACACAATGTACCAGTTAATTTTACTACTGATATGGTCAATCTGCAAATAGATTCTGAGAAATAATTAGTGTCTGATTCAAAGTTGTCTTACCTTCATTGTCTGCAACTGAGTCATTCTCAACTTTCTTCCACGCAAACGACAGTGAATGAGCTCCTGTTTCCTGGTATGTGATGTATTGAGTTGTATACCTTCCCCAAGAAGTAGTACTGAAGTTTTTCTTTTTAGTTTTTTAAATGTTATGGATTTAGGTTTTTGGGGTTTTTTTAGATTTTTCCCTGAAGCTTTAAAGTAAATAAAATTGAACCAAATTACTATTTATCTGTACTTGTAACAATGAGGCTACACTCTGAGTGGCTTTAAATGAAAAGCTTTTAGTTTCGATATTGATTTGTGCTATGAAAAAGAAGACATTTTATTCACTCTCATGCTTACTCACAAGTTTATCCTTTTCTATTTTATAATCTGAAGAGGGTCTGCAAAAAAGGTGGCCTAAAAGGCATGTAATGAATAAGGAATGTTAAGAAGCATACTAGTTTGTCAGATATTAAAATAACTGGTATTAACAACGAGATATCAACAGATACTTTCTGTATCTTTTTATAAACAAACCACATAAAACTAGTATTAAAAAAAGTAATTGGTCATAGCATGATAACAACATAGCCACTTTATGGTCAGCAAGTAAAAAAAGAAAAAGACTTGCACCAAACACACAAAACCTACACATACATAGAATACAAGTTTTAATGCCAAATTGTACCTTCTGAAGAAATGAACCATGCCATTAGCACATTAATGTTTGCACTTGTGTTTACAGTAACCAATAGCACTGGGTGGTATTTTCTAAAAAGGGAGGACTGCCTTGGAGTACAAAGTGCACCAAAGTATCAATAATGAAATCAGTCAGTTTGAACAATTTGCTCTGCATTTTTTATTAAAAGGTTTCTTTATATAAGTGTAGGCATCTGTTATCAGTTTTGCCATAGCCTCGGATTTCTAGGGTAAAGTTACAGTAGAAACTTTAACTAGTGAGGCCCTGAAATTTCTCGCTGTTGGTTAAGCACCAGTGGGAAGTACATCTATCCTAACTGGTATGCACAAGGAATTTATTTAATCACTAGTTAATGAACTTCAACCAAAACATGCAACAAGTAACAGACACATATGATGAATTGCGAATGTTCTTCCTAGTTCCAGAAAAAAAAAGTACATTTGAGTCAGCATGATTGTAATCTTCTAATTAAATAACATAACCATTCTAAAGTCTATGTACATAGCTTTGCATTACCACGTCATTAAGTGTACTTCATGGCCCATATGCACAAATTTTATAGATATTAGGCTCATAACCAATAAAAACAGAAACATGAGTATTTCTGTTTCAGGGCCTCACAACATGAATTTCTACAGTCCTATGAAGGAATGGAAAAATAAATAGCTAAACCTTCCGATGCCCCGTCCTTCAATGGCAGTAGAGTGAGCTCTGCAGACTCCTGTAAAGCCAGCCATTAATGAAGTAAAACATACACCCTAGTGGGTAACAGCTACATGGTTAAATTTTGGCACATGCTGGAAATAAGGAAACATGTTGGAACTGATTTCTGAGAGCAATTCTAACAGAAAGCGGCATACTCCACATGATCCATACAAAGTGAAGACATCAGACCCAACCCCATTCTATCACCTGTAAATTTGGAGACTGGAAAGTATGATGAACTGCCTGCAGCTATACTCACCACTCTGAGTGCCCTCGCTCTGTTTCATTCAACTGTTTTTTTAGAAAGGGTATGTATGAATCTCAAATTCTGAGAACTCAACTAGCAACTATACCCTTAACAAGACCTCAGGTGAGCTACTCATTTTGGGCAGACTGAGCTGTAACAGTGCTGATAACACAGACACTGAGTCAGGGTATGGATGTAATACGTAGTTTACTCAAACCCTCAGCTACCTACCCCATGTAACTGTAGACAGAATTCAGAACAATGTCCTGGTTTTTTCAATTCTTGCCATTATGTTTCATCGAAAAACTGCTGATGCTTTTTGAAGTGTCTGCCCTTTCTGTGAGTAGCCTATGTTTAAAGAAAAAACAAAGAATACCCCCAAACATCACTTAGTCTTGCTCACACCTTACCTTTTCACATCCTTCTATTATTTTTGAAAGTAATGCTAAACATCTAGATAAGGAAAGAGGTCTTACAGCAATCTGTCCTGCCAAGACACTACTCTCAGCCACAGAAAGGAGACACTACAAGCATCGAAGAGCTATTCAGGAAAACAGCATTAACACCTAACGGGTTGTAAAAGGTAGGAAACTCCCACCTGCAGTCTATCTTGGCTTTCTTATTGGTGGTAACTTTCAAGAAACCAAGTGTACAAACCAGGAACTACACTCTGTAAAAAGACACAATGTGGATCAAATTTACTCTAGAGGCAGATGTCTATAGTGAGAAAAAGTTAGGGCTGGCTGCATTGTACCTTAGTGATTATTAATGTGGAGAAAAGTATCTCAAGTAGTAACAATGAAAACACTTAAAAAAAATACTGTAACACTAAAATATTGCAAAGCCGATGATCATAGATCTAGCTAGCGATAAAAAAATGCAAATATCAATGTAGGAATTCTCATTAAAATGCTGTTTCCATGGTAAAGCTTTTAAGTAGTCTGATTCAAGTAGTAAACTGTTTTTGTTACATTACTAATGAAGTTTATTTGCAAGAGGTTAGAAAATGTCAGATTAAGCGAGTATAGAGAAAGCCACTGGGTGGTGAGGAAATCACAAAGCAGAGGTTACATTCCCCACTACTGCTGGTAGTAACACACAGAGGCACTATGGAACAGCAACAGCCGAGAGCTGCTCCGATAAACTTTTCACAGAGAAGCATTCATTAGAAACAAACCCCAGTTTAGTACTTTATTGGAATGCAATACCCTCAGCATAGCTTATACTCAGAGTTGCACACTCACAGGCATGCTGCAAGCAAGCTCTCACAGAAGAGCCATAGCATACTGCTGCAACATCACACACTTTGAACAACCGCTAACAGTGACTGCACTCAAGTGCAGCTTTACCTTTATCTTTTGGTTTTATTCAGTAGACTGTTTTTTTTACAGAAGCTGAATATTACAAAGACTTCCTGCTCAAGAGCTTACAATCTAGTTTTAGATGGGGTATCCAGAGTAATTAACTTCAAAAAGGAAACAAAGGACAAAGCAACTTCATCAAGATCAGTTCATCAGTTTTAGCAGCTCAGTATTTGTCCCAAAATATATTCACTAAATTTGTACCAAGGACAGAGTAGGTAGAAGCCTATAAATGAGGCAACAGGACACATGGCACCAGGTTCTAGTGAAAAACTGTTTATTAAATATATCAGAGATGTGTAATCATGTGAACTCTTTAGTACTGTAGTGTACCTCATAAAAGCACTGCAACTTGATATCCCTAGAAGAACTCTATTAAATGCATCACCCTTTTATTTTCATACAGTGCCTCAAAATGGATCAAGGGTAAGCAGACCAAGAAAGGCAGAAGTATGGGTGGACATTTTCTAGGACTTGTCCACAGTCACCTTACTCATACAGTAAAGCAGCACAAGTCACACAAGCTAGTTTGTAAATGTACTAGGTCAACAGCATTTGGGGACCCTGTCGTCATAGCACTCTGTCAGGTAAGTCAGCCACTTCCAAAATAAACTGTTTACTTTTACTATTTCTTGTTAAAGTTAAATGCAGTAACTTCCGCTGCAATACAAAACAATACTAGCTGCAAAGCAAGAACACAACTGTTAAAAGGACTGTATGACTTCTGGCATAACAGATCAACATTACCCAGGAACACCCCTCCACGTTGCACTCATACACATTCCTACCAGTACCAATGGATAAATGAGAACCTTACATCTCCCTTAGGAGAAAACAAGTAACAGCACTGCTACGGGATTTCACTTGCATCATGCACGCTGCTTTGAAAATAAATCAACACACCAAAGCTACACGGGATGTACCATTTCAGTATGTTCCCAGAGCAAATCACCCTCTTTGACAAGTGTGGTCAAGCGCCAAACAAACACAGCTGATAGCTCCTTCAATATCCAGCTCCATGTTTTTGGGGTTCATTTTTTCTTCCCCAGAAACAGTATCAACTTCATCCCCAAGGTAGTATGTACATTCATAATAAAACTTCTTCAGCACATATGACAAAGTTCAATTGCTGCTAATGTTACAATAAAAGCAATTTCTCATTTCCCTAAACACTTTTCAGCACCTGAAGCACAAGTAATAGAACTGAGTAAAATCTGACTTCCATTTTAAGCAATAGAGAACATTTAGTCTGAATGGCAAGAACCCTAGTACCGACCTCTCTTCACCACCACTTTATTAATGCCAGTTATACACTAGTGGGTTTTCATTGATAGTTTTTTCCACCCATACCAGTTACCAGCAAATTATGTTGTCCTTCACATTCTTCCCTCGGTCTGCTACAGAAAATGTTTGCTGTGTGTAAACTGGGCCTAGTACTGACAACCTGATCCTCAGTTCTTAGTCCACTGAAACATACTGACCAGCCGTGTTTCCTTTACTTTGAAAACTTTGGGAATCTGCAGAGTGACATAAAACCAGCTTAGAAAATAAAGAGGAAAAGCAAACATTGTCTACAAACTATGAACCAGAAATTGACCACACACTATCTTTATTCAAAGTTGCCAGCTTTCAGTATCACGTTGACTCAAAACGGTGACTTCTCTCACTGAATTTATTAGTAAACACTGTGATTGTCATGAATTCTTACGAACATACCAAGAAAGAAGAGTCATGAAAGTTCGACAGCAAGGCAAAAGGAAACTTACTCAAATTTAACTCCAAGCTTTCAAGACTTTAAATATTCAATAACCTAGTTTTTGCATACTGCTGTTCCCTGTATGGTCTCTTCTTCCATTGCCAGTATAACAAAAGTGAACAGCTGAATTATGGAAAATGTACTTAACTCAAGTGAAGGTTAAACCTTGTTGCAAAACTGAAAGAGTGCAAGTATCTCAAACAGAAAGAGAAACAAACAGAGAAGAATTACTCCCCTTTGAAGTATTAGGGTGTTTTATGTCATAATGTGGACTTGGGAACTGTAAAGAAAAACCTCTGTTAACTAAATCTAAGTTTCAGGAAAGAAGGTAAGTTCCTTATCAACTGGTCAACTCATTCTGTTGGAAAGAAGAAAGTAAAGCAGATTTTGTGCATCTTGATTTTCTGCTTCCATTGCAGCCCTCTGGTTACCTATGCAAGTATTTCAAAGTTCAACGTAAGAAACAGAAATAAATTCGTATGTGAACCCTTAAATAGTAGTTCTGAATCATATGAAGGTTAAAGGCATAATTCTGTCAAAGCTAAGCATGTAAATGTTAATTTCGAAAAAACCGTATTATCAGGTTGAAACAGCACAGACTGAAGATACTTTCCCCTCAAACTTCCCCAACCAAAGCTTTCCCAAGATCACACTTAAAGAATTTGCTTTGAGGAGTTTTTGGTGGTGGTGATCAGAAAAACTCCTATCAGTAATGCAGTCCTGGTACAGCAGGAACTCTACAATCCATTCAGTCATTCTCTCTTGATGCTAAAAGCTCTTTACAGCTGAAAAGGATAAAGCTACGGTCCTATCACATTTTGACAAAACTGGCCTAAGTGTTTAGTTTCATTAAGGAGAAAGGAGGAGGTATTTTTTATAAAGTGATAACACAGCCAAAAAGCTATTTTAAAGCAATTGTGTCCAACAGCAAAAAGATCAGCTTTTTAAAAATTTGTAGCACTGTTTCTCCCAGCAGAGAACAGATGCCTACTGTCAGAGATCCAAGTTTTGTGAATACACTTGCCAAGCTGACTTTGTTTTAAATCCACCTCAAAATGCAATGTTTCAAATCATGAAAGGGTCTAAAAGCTGCACATCAGCATTATCTAATGTTAGACACAGACTAATTTTTATTAAGCATTACACTAGAACTACTTTGGTATAAAAATACTTTATTTTAAAACTATGAAAGTTATAAAAATATGTAGTTAAATTTTCTACTCACAGAATGTTTGCTATTTTAACATTAGTGATTTGTTTCTCCTAACGAATCTGAATTTTATTCGAAAGGTTTACAAGACATTATTACTATAATTTAAAAAAACCCAGCATTACAGGGAGCTGTACTAATTGTGATGTTTTATCAGTATTCTATATTTTTAATGAAGGCAGCAAAAACAACTATTTTCTGATGATACAGAATTTCTTATTTCTTGAAGCGTTTCTGTGGTTGACCACTTCTTCATTAGTTACCTGCAGCATGGCACCTTCCTGCCAAAGAGAAAAAAAGTGTATCTGAAGATGTTTATCACATATGTCTAAACCAAATTACCAATAGGGGAATTTCAGCCATTTTTTTTTTAAAAGAAGTATAAGCAGTTCACTGGTGTGTCTAACACAAAAAGGAACAGGACTTTTGTTAGCCGAGTCCACGTTCTTCAGTGGGCAGCCTTTTAAAGGCAATGGAACTTTGAAATTAGGGCATTTTTGGTTGCTTTTTTATTTTGGTGGGTTTTTAAATTTAAAAACCAAATCTAGTAGAGTATGTCACCCTTACTCTGAATAATTCATTACTCGATGAATTTTTGTTAATTTGAGGTGCAAACATTCAATGCAGTGAGAGTAAGGCTGACTGAATTTGGCACTAAGGTTTATTAGCTGCAAGAACTATAAAAAATGGTGGAAACCTCAACCTTCTAGCCAAATTCCAATTCTTGTAATTACATGATACACTTATGAAATACCACCTGCAGTTTCATTTGAAGTTTTCACTTCCCCTCCTAAAGAACTGCTTATGCAGTTGTTAAAAGAATGGACGACACATCCCTTCACAGAGGCAGATGTATTCTGTGATGCCATTTTTTTCCTTACACGAAAACAGTCTACAGTTACTTGGGAACCTTCAGGATGAAACATGTTATATAAAATAGATTACGAAAGACAAGACACATTAACAACATAGTTCATTTTCAACAGCACAGAACTGCCTTCATTGCATTACCTTGCAACCACCATAACGCATAGACTCTCAAGAAAAAAAAATGTTGCAGGATGCAAAAATAAAGTTGTATGATTTAATTAACTTGTGACCTACCATTTTAACTACCAACACCAAGGATGGAACCCTTGCAAAGCTTTACTAATGGACACTTGCAGGTCTCATTTGTTCAACTGTAGCAGTGTACAGTGGCAGCAGTCTATGCTTGTCCAGGGTTCATATCATAGCTAGATTCCAGTAGGAAAAAAATACGTTAAGTAGCTGAAATTAACAAAAATTTGTTTGTAAAAAATTTAATAATACAAGAAAACAGGATTCACAAATTTCTTTTCAATTGATAATTGTTAACTTAATTCATTGCTATGTTAAACTACATAAACAATAATTACTATACTGAAAGAATACTATCAAACAATATTAGTTTCTTGGTTTCGGTACAGTAAGAAAGGAAAAGTAAATAAGATCTTACCTAAAGAAGTTTAACTGAAGCTTAGAACTATTTTGCTCTACACCCTCAGCCTTCGTTGGCATCCTTATAAACTACTGTAGTTAAAGCTTTGCAGAAATACAGCGCAGCTTTTTAAGACTGGCTGAACTTAGTGACGTTTTCAAGAGTTCTCTCGTACTAGACCTGTGTCCCTGGAAGAGTACCTCGCTGGGGTATTTCCTTTCCTTGCCATTGAAGAAGCAGCATCTAAAAGATCTAAAAAGGTGTTTCTCCTTGCAGAGATATCCCTTAAGTTATCTAGATGATTTAAACCTGATCATTTACAGACAACATACTTTTTTCTGACCAGCATTTAATTTTACATGTACAACAATAGCTTTATTATTATTTGTGGGACCTTATACTACCCACTCCTTGCCTTATTTTACAATATTAAAAAAAAAATCTAAAATTACACAATATTTCCTTTAGAATTATTTTATTAAATCATAAATGTACAACAGCTTCTTAACTCTACACACGCACTTAAATTTTTAAAAGGAAAACGTTATGTCTTATTACACCATGATCCTGGCTAATAGCTTTTCAAAACTTTGAGAAAAATCTTAAAAAAGGTTTCACATGTCACCTGAAACTTACAAATTTAACATTATCAAAGGAATGCTTCTACACTTACAAAGACCACTAGAAAGAAACAACAATTAAAAAGCTAAGAAACTGTCTCAAAGGCATTTTTACAATCCTTCCTCCACAGTAAGGTAATGTTATTAAATAATCCAAATCCATTCACAAAATGGCTCTCTGCATCTGCTCTGGTGTCTTCTGCCATATCACTGCATATTTATGCATGACTGAGATAAGTGTTTCCTTAACATTGTTATTTCGATAACCTGAAGCTGTTCTGTTACCTCTGGGCTCTCATCCTCTCCTATTTATACAGTGAAGCCTGTTTCAACAGAAGTAAAGAGTAAAAAAATAGGTTATGAAATTATTCATCTAACCATTTTTTAAAGGAAAGATAATATGATCCTAAAAAGCTTTTAACTCCTGCAGCTACTCTCAAGAATCACTGCAATTATAACACTTATAAACATACTTACCCATGGCATGCTTGCAGAAACTCAGTAACGGCTCCTCCCTCCATATCCACCACTTCCTCCACTGCCCCCTGGACCATAGTTTCCTACAATTGCAGAAAAGGAAAAAACATAATGGCCACATCAGCACAGTTTTAAATCTAGAAATGCTTGATTCTGTATGAAGACTAACATCTGCTTTTCTTCCAGAGACAGCATATACAACCAAGATTTTAACATTTCACTATTTTCCTCTAAATAACCTCCAAGAAAGGCCACAAGAACTACATGCTGAAATCTTAGAATTTAATTCAATAGTGCGTATAATCCAAAGCACTGTACTGTCTACAGCCTGTGAGGGCTAACTTTATTTGCATGCTAAACCTTACAAGAAAGGGCTTCATGTTTCAGTTTTCATTTAAAAAGCTTTACATGCCACATTAAATAACATTTAGACAAGAAGCAGAAAAGTCAGAAAAAAGTGACAAGAAGAAAAGGGGAAGGGGGGAAAAAAAACAACCCAAACATCCAAGCAAGTTCAGCAATCATAAACTGGACTTTCTACAAATAGTGTAAGCTGATAGCAAAGAACATGAAACTTGGCTAATATCTTAAGACTGGAAACTGCAAGACATTTTACAATACTCTGAAAGAAGTGTCATTTATCTTTTAAAAATAGTAATAATCATTTCCACGAAGACAAGCTTCATAGTCTCAAGATGAGAAATTGTAGCCAATTTGCACTGCAGTCCACCTACTGCAGAAGTTATCCAATTTCTGTACAACAGTCTTAGAATCACAGAATGATTTGGGTTGGAAGGGACCTTTAGAGGTCATGTAGTTCAAATTCAGGTTGCTCAAAGCCCCATCCAATTTGACCGTCAACTCTTTTTCCAGGGAGGGAGCATCCACAGCTTCTCTGGGCAACCTGTTCCAGTGCCTCACCACTCTAATTGTAAAGAAATTTTTCCTTATATCTAATCTTAATCTACTCTCTTTTAGCTCAAAGCAGTTCTCTCTTGTCCTGTCTTCCCTTCCACCTCCCCAAAGAGCCCACCCACTCTGATTCCAAGGCAGGTCAGGAGATATACAATACCTCCACCATATGGTCCCCCCATGTTCCTGCTGCCACCAAAATTTCCACTCTTCATTGGACCATAATTTGAAGGTTGTTGGTTGTAGTTTCCAAAATCATTATAGTTTCCACTTCCGTAATTGCCTGCATTAACAATACAAAAGTGGACAAATACCTATATGAGGTAAAATGCACACACTCATGAATTTTTTTATTAGAACTTCATAAATAAAGTACAAAATCACACAGGTATTCCAGCAGTACATACAACAAATTTCTTTTTCATGCTATTTGGCAAACAAGAGCTTCCTTGGACAACATTCTCCTTCCTTATCCAAATCTCAAATGATTTGCACTAATTCAGAACTTAAATGCTTTATCATTTCAAGCCAGAACATTACCTCCTCCATAGTTGTCATAACCTCCTCCATAGCCCCCACCCTGGTTGCCATATCCAGGTCCTCCTCCACCATATCCTCCTCTTCCTCCTCCATAACCAGGACTGCCACCAAAGTTGCCACCTATGACAATATAATCCTTTAAAATAAACTTTTCAGTGTAGAGATCAACCAAATTCTACAGAATCAAGAGATAATTTTCTGTTAAGAAGTCTAGAGAGGAAGAAAAGTGAGTTTTTTGTAAAGACACTGCTGTGAACACTATTTGAAAGGCCCATGCCAATTCCCACCCTAACTGATCTGTGACCAAAACCCAGCAGACTGCCTAAAAGCCTCAACTGAAAGGCTTAACTAAAATTCTGATTTTTCCGGAAATTTAAGAAACTGCTGTTCTAAATAAAAAGGCGTGATTGTCCAAGAAATAACCATACAATTTACCACATAAAAGCTTAGTATGAGCCAACAGCCATGTGTGTTTCTTGAAGCAAACAAAATGCCTTTGGCAATTAACAATGAATTTTATACAAATGTTAAGTGAATGCAAAAATGCTTCTGAGAGAAAAACAACCATCACCAGCAAAAAAGTAAACTAACCTCCAGGTCCTCCACCATATCCATTATAGCCGTCACCAAATCCACGGCCACTTCCATATCCATCTGTTGGAGAAAAACCCAAAGCATTTCAATTCACTTGCAGCAAACTAAATGAATTCTCAAACCCCTATGACCTTAAGGACCAAATCTCAGAGATTTAATTAAGCACATGTACACTTGAATTCAGAAAAATACATGAACACATACAACCACTGCTCTACATCTTCTATTTTCTTGCATTTGTAAGATACCCAGCCTTAATTCTGGACATAGCCCTCATACTGTAAAGGTCAGGCAAGTGCTGCATAGGATTACAGAGGAGAAATCTCTGAATTTCTTAAAATTTTTAAGTTCAGGTTAATTTTGGCTTTTAATAAAATCCTTTTAAAAGAAAAAAAAAGTAACTTAAGTTTACTGAATATCCACATAATCCATGTGTGTGCTACAAAAGAGGTTTACAAGTTATTTTTCCCCAAAATTCTCTAACTGCTACAGCTGCATTTAAATCAAACAGATGTGGCTTACCAAGTTACCCAGAACCAGAAAGACAGTAAACAGAGGAGGGTGGCGGGGAAGCTACAAACATGCCTGTCTTACCAGCTCCCCCTCTGAAATTGCTGCCAGGTCCAGGACCAAAGTTGCCACCACCTCCACGTGCATCACCAAAACCAAAGTTTCCTGTAACAGTTTAACATTTATAAGCAGTGAGATCATGAAAAGTGAACACAAAAAAATCAACCACAAACCATTACCTATTACTTGTACATACCTCCTCTGCCACTCCTAGAATTCTGAACTTCCTGCATTTCCTGTCTAGAGAGGGCTTTCCTTACTTCTGCATTATGGCCATTGATGGTGTGATACTTCTGCACTGTAACCACATCAAAAAACATACCATCAGCATTTAAATACTGATGTGGCAACAAATAAGATCAGGCTTCCAAAAATGAACTAATTTCCAAATTAACCCATACATATTCCATATCCTTTTGAAAACCCAAAACACCATAGGATTTTCATGCAAGTCAGTACTTACTTAAAATATATGGATGTACCAAACATTCATGCACATAACTACTAATCCCATTATCTCTTCAGTTTAAGGTTAGTTTTATGCAATTACCATGACTGCAAAGATTAATAATATCAAATGAAAGAGTGAAATAAAGCTTACTTACATACAATTTTATCCACAGGATCATGGTCATCAAATGTAACAAATCCAAACCCTCTCTTTTTACCAGACTGTCTGTCAGTAATGATTTCAATAGTGTCGATTTTTCCATATTCCTCAAAGTAGTCACGAAGGTGGTGCTCTTCAGTGTCCTCTTTAATACCACCAACAAATAGTTTTTTCACAGTAACATGAGCACCAGGTTTTCCAGATTCCTGTTAAAAGAATCCTTTAAATTACCACCAACAAAAACAATTTCACTAATCATTATTTTGCCAGGATTTCAGGAACAGAATACTGACAAACTAAGAATTTTCAAGCACCGAGGCAGTGCTCTTACGACACATCCCTACAACATTGCTTAGGGGGCCTTCTGGGATACATTCCACTTGTATTAACAGCAAAGGTCCCTCAACCTCTGCCAATCCACAGTATGCATTTTAACCCCTGTTCCAAATATGAAGATAACTCCTCACATTCATGGGTTATTCTTAAACTTTGAGCATTATATCCAAGCTGCTGCACTAGGCAGGAGTAACTTATTTCTAAAGCTTAGAATAACTTAGCAATATCTTTATGTGTAAAAACATTATGCACGTATGCTGCTTTAATTACCTTTTTCCAAATGCTAACCAACCTTGCATTCTGCAGGGAATGGAAAGAAAACTGAGAGAGCTAACAGGGGTACCAGTGGTTATGATTTCCAATTCCCTTGACATCTGGGACACATCATTTAATACCAGTTAATCAGTCCAAATGCACTAAACACCTGGGTCCAACTCTAAACTTCTAAACCCTCTCAGAGCTCCCACAGCATGGTAAGCAGAAGTCACCTAGAAACTGCAGTTGGTCCTCAAGTACCTCTGTGCCACAGTAACCCAGCTGAAAAGTTTACAGGTGCAGTGCATTCCTGTGCACACCCCTAAATCTACACCCTGAAGTTTAAAACTAAATATGCCTGGGGCTAAAACCAGAGCAGTCCCAAGATGATTTTGTGTACCACCACTGAAAAAAAAAAAGAAGAGCTTCCCTACTATATTCTCTATTTTTAGTAACTTCAGTTATACACCTTTTAGAAATATCCCTAAAGATCTTAAAATAGAGTCAGGACAGATCAAACAGGAGTTTATTCTTTTGAGATTTAGTAACTCCAGAGACAAGTTAGTTTAGAATTTGCATAATTACAGGCATTCAACATGTTTTTGTTAACAATACCTTCAGACCCCAGTTGTATCCCTTGCAGGCATTTATGTAATAGTGTCATTTAATGCGGCAAAAGCGTGCAAAATAGTGCCCCAACTACAGCCTTTTAACTAGAGAATTTAAACCCTGGCAATTTCAAACAAGAACAAAGCTTAACTGTCCAACCAAAACAAGAGATTCCTTTTTCAAAACACGAAAAATCTGCTTTCAAAGCCATACTCACCTCTCTAGCCACAGCTCTCTTAGGCTCAACCACCCTTCCATCAATCGTGTGAGGTCTTGCAGCCATAGCTGCATCAACTTCAGCCATGGAAGAGAATGTTACAAAACCAAACCCTCTTGATCTTTTGCTTGCAGGATCCCTCATTACCTAAAAATAATAAATATGTTTAAACCATTTCTACTTGTCTTATGTTAAGCTTAACACTAAAACATTCGGAGAAAACACATAAACTTAAATTACATCTTCCTTGATTTGATTTTGGAACACAATAATAATGAAGTAGCAAGCTATGCTGATTAAGTATGTGAATGGCACTGCTTGGCATCACAGAAATTCAAATCATTGTTGTCCTCTAACATTCTACTCGTAACTCATAAATTCTGCTGTATCAGTTACTTAAGTTTACAGTTTTTTTCCTCTAAAAATAAAAACACTTTATTTTTCTAAAGCTTTCTGAAGGCCACAGACTTTAAAATTGTTATGAAATATGCATTTACTCCTACCAAAACAAATTCAGTGGAGGAACTTCTGCAAGGGTCACCATCCCTGTAAGTATTTAAAAGATACATAGACACGGTGATTAGGGACATGGTCTAGTGGTAGACTTGGCAGTGCTATGTTTATGGCTGGAGTCAATCTTAAGGGTTTTTTCCAACCTAAATGATTCAGGGAAAAAGAACAAAAACAAAAACCAAACAAACCACAAAAAACCAACCCACATAGAAAGACATCCTTTCCCAGCTTTATTAAGGCTGCTTACCGTGACACCAGCTTTCTGCCAAAGGTTACCAATCACACCTATGTAACAGTGCTGTGTAAGCACTCCCTAATGCATTTCAGCCAATGACGCTCAAGTTAATTTTAAACTGTTGAAATCTGTGGTTACAGATAATCTGGGAGATTTTGCAGGAAACAGATCATGAATGCTCCCTGTATCTATCAACAGAGTTTGCAAGGGGAACTCTGTGCACAACTTCAGTGGACTGAATTATGTATAAACCAACCAACCGTACACTTAAGAGAATGTAATACTGCGCCTTTTCATTAAGCTATCCAGTAAACAAACTCCCTGCTTTTACAACTTCTAAACATTCTACACCACTGTTGTGCATTAGTATGCCAAACTTACCACACAGTCTGTAAGCTTTCCCCATTGCTCATAGTAACTCCTCAAGCTTTCCTCTGTTGTTTCAAAGCTTAAGCCACCAATGAATAGTTTGCGGAACTGCTCCTTTTCCCTCTATCACAGAAAAGAAGATTACATTAATATAATTAACAATACCCCTTCTGCTTCAGCATAATTAAACACTAAGATTTTTTTTAAGTGTCAAAAACTGTCAGTGAGATATTTTTTAAAATCAGGCTTGGTTCCTCTAAACGTTTTACCGCTATTCAAGAAAATGAGCTATTTATGCAATTCTATAGGTCTACTTTTATGACACAGATTTTATCAATGTGTTTCTCTCCATCTCTCCCTCAAAATACTAACAAGGGACCACACTCAAAGACTTCTAGAATAGCTCTCTCAAAGACCTTTAGGAGATGCTTTTCAAAGAAAAGAAAAAAGAAAACAAAACTAGAAGTTCTTATTACACATAAAATTAATTCATTCATACTGTCTGATCCTATTCCAGGCAGCATCTGTTCTTAAAAAACATTCTGGCTCAGAATTTTTTACCATGCTATTTATCCAAGGCATTAAAAATAAAGATGCAGCTAAAAGTGTTATAAAATGGGTTGCCAATGTGTATTTTCTAATTAATTATTAAAACGAATGAAAGCTGGAGCGTCTGTAAAACTAACCAGGGATCCACTGGAATTAGCAGTAAACCTACCCACCATCAACAGCAGCAGTATCAAAACTAAGTGCATTTCCTTTAACATGGAAATGTGGATAATACATACTTGCATATATATTCACTAATATAAACTACGTTTTCAGAAAGACTTTTTTCTGTTACCTTTCAGATAAATTATCACTGCACTTGTTCAAGCAGAAACTCCTGCTGTAATAACAAGTACATAATAAAAAAATTCCAGGACCAATAATAAGATATTACATTTACTATTTCATATGAGATATTATACCAATGCAGGAAGGACAACCTTCCAACCTCTATCAGTTAAAATACTTTTATAATAACTTTTTATTCTAAACAGGCATCATAATTGTCATTTTCTACACACAACAGCATCACTAGATCATACATTTTGCAATTCCTATGTCAAACAGCAATAATTTTAAAAAATGCACTAAATAGTAGTCGTCCTTCCACAAAACTTAAGATTTAAGGACATCGTTTGAAAGATAACTGTCCTAAGTGTCCAAAGACTGCATAGTTAGCTATAACAAACACAACATGACCAAGTATGCACTGGACCCTAGGATAAATCTAAAAACAAAATCAGACAACCAATGACAACCAGTAAGATTTCGCAAACAAGCCAACAGTTCAGTGCCCAAATGCTTTTTCTTAAAAACACTTGGAATCTGCTGTTGGATCTAGTATGTTTTCTTCCAGGTAACAGAGAAAGCTAGTATGGTCTCCTCCTGGTACAGACAGGCAAAATCAGACACAAGAGTTTATAAAAGCAGCAAGCCCACGTTATGACAGGTTTCCTTTCACCTCATCTCTTAAAAGAAATAAAGGAAAAGATGCTGCATACCAGACTTGGACTAAAAACTCATATGCTGCAAGTTGTACTATCATTTATAATTTGAGTAGGCTAGCAGAGAGATCACTTTAAGCAACAATACTGCCAAAAAAACTCTCCCTTCAAATTACTTCAGTTCTGCTGCTTGGAAATTAGGGACTACCTGCTGCAGTTTTATAAGCCAACAAAAACCCGTTTTTTTCCTATATAAGTAATTGTTGTGCGTCTATTATGCACATTTTTATTCTTATAAAATATGAGAATCAAGCAAATTCAGTAAGCAGGTAGGATTTTTCCAGTAAGTGTTAGGTTTACCTCTGAAAACAGTTATAAACATATAAATGAAAGAATGGAGTCTATCAGCTGTAACAACTGCATTTCTTTTTTTAAGGACAAACATGTATCACACAGTACTAATAAACATTAAACAGAGTAACAATACATTTTACAGATGTATGGATTCTTAGAAACTAATCTACCCAGAACAACATCTAAGCGCTATACACGTCAGGACACAGCAATAACAAAAACAAGATCATTCATTAAAGCTACTCCGTGAAAATATCACAGAATGTTTTTCCACTAATACATGCACAGCTTCTGCATGTATAGAGACTACGTTTTAAATGTGTCAGTTTTAAGAAGCTCTGGTTAGTCCAGCATTAACCTCCCACTACCTCTGAACACTTGAAGTTAATGCTGAAGCTGTAAAATATATGATAAAAAATATTATCATCCAGTCTCTCTCAGAATCATGATGAAAATCCTCATTTGGTAAAAAAAAAAAAACCTCAACCAAAACAAACAAACCCATGTACATACAACCCATCCCTGCCAAGGCCCACAATTTAAATTCTAGAAGAAAAACCTCCTTTAAGACTTCCATAGTGCATTCTGTGGCAGGAAAGGAGTGTGAGAGGAAATCTTTATGAACTCTGTAGAATCTTTATTAGTGCTTATTTTAAGCCTTCCTTCATAGTCTTAAAAAGCAGCACTTCAAACAACTGGAAAATGCGTAGCCTTTGCTGGAAAATTCATCATCAGAGCAAGGAAGTGTTTCATATAGCAACAACGTGTGTACAAATACTCCAAGCCGGCCAGAGACTTCTCCAGAGTTAAGAAGGTAACAAAAATGGATAATGGAGACAAGCGAGTGGGGATCTCTAGCCTACTATGGCCATGCCTGCCAAAACCAAAGCTGACTTTACCTGTCCCAAACTAGAAAGACTGCTCTCTCCCCCGCCTCAAGCTCCCCGCTAGTCCCTATGCGTCCTACAGAGATCTGCAACCCAGCAGCCTGGTTCGCCCCCTTTCCCCGCCCTCGCAGCCTGATGTTATCGGGAGTGAAGCGGTTACCGTGTCGGCTCCGCCATGTGGTGGCTATCAGGAAAACAGGGGCCCCCGCAGCTAGAAGGGGAAAATGGCGCCCAGAAGCAGCCGTCGCCTCCAGGGACAGCGATGCGGCGGGAAGGAAAGAACTTCTGGAAGCACCGACCCCAGATGAAGGAGGAAAAAAAATAAAAGGAAAATACAAGTAACATCAAGTTCTCGGGCTAAACAGAAACCAGGTGCTGCAAACCGCTTCTAGCATGCACTTACACACAAGATATGAGGAAAAGCTTGCAAGCGCCGTTTTCCTCCCCCGCAGTCACCAGATGGCTACACCTGCCTGCCCGCCTCGCAGCTCCTGCTACCCTCCCGCCTTAGCCGTTTTCTCGCTCTCAGAGCGATCCTCACAGCCTCACGCATAAGCGAGTCCGGCGCCGCCATTTTACCCCTCCCCCTCGCCACCGCCATTACTAGCGGCGCCACACCGGCCACTGAGCGCCTCGCAGGGCAAAGGCGGCTCCCCGCACCGATCCCCATC